ACTGGAAGTGGAGCCCCTCAACATGGTTTTAAAGGGAAACAAACTGAGGTTGTCAGAACTTGGGGAATCTCTCTGCTTCCTTAAAAACAAAAGTGAAAATGAGCCAAACAGGATTTTTTTTATAAAATCTAAATGATAAATCCAGTAAGAACCACTTCATAAAATTAGGGCATTTCTCCTTTCCTCCTAAATATATGAAATCAACTACTTTAAAAGTTCCAGCCTCCCCAGATGTGACAGTCAAATATAATTTCAGAAAACAATATAACAATCATCATACCTCACAATTGTGGGTATAAAAAAATCATCCTGTGCTTTTTCCCTTTTCAGAAAAGCATCACTCATTTCTTATAGTGTAGCTGTCATAAATTATCTAGAGCATAGATTGATGCCATACATACTCGAGTATTTATTCCTATACCAGAAACACCAGTGTTAGCAAGCAGCCTCTAGAAGAAGAACTGAGTCCCTTTCATTAAATGTTATAGCTGCATGTATTCCCTCTGATGAATAAGCATCACAGGTCAAATTTGTCCTATAATTCATTTTATATCAAATGGCAAACAAGTCATTGAACAGCACTCCCTGCAACATCTTAGTACAGAGGTCTGAATTTATGATCACAATGACCTGTGCCTTAAAGCCTAACCATTTTAAAGGTCTCTGGAATACTGTCATTGCTTTAGAAATATTGGCTACTTCATGTTCACATAGTAAATGTTTGCAGCAAATAACATTACAGATTCATAAACCCATAATTAACTCATGAGTGTTAATAGACAACTATGCTTTGACTTTTGCCTTTTGTGATAAGAAAATGTGAATTGGTCACTCTTGAAAGCACGAGACATTGTCTTTAAATTTGTATAGTAAGGGAACACAAAATAAAATGTAGCAATTATACTGGAACCATAACCTGCAAAAATAAAACAAACATCTCAAAAGGTACAAACAGGTTGTACCTGGACCTTAAGCAGCATAATCACCTTGATCTCACAAAGTAATATAAATAGCAACTTCAAAGTGTTAAGTATATTAACAATTCTCAAAATGCCAACTAGTGGACATACCCTTCAGGGAAGAAGAAAAGCAGCACACAAAAAATCTGAAGTTTATTAACAATATAAAATAAAGTGACTCCCCAAACCACATTCTTTGCAATAAATCTTTACAGTGAAAGTGTTCAAAATTTTGGGAAACTTTTTTTTTTTGGACTTCAATAGAACTGGGAAGTTGTCAACATTAAGAAATGGGTAGAAAATGCTGTCCTTTGGGTTCCTGGCCCTGCCTACTTCCATTTGGAATTCCTCCTAGACATTTATTACAGTACGGTCCTAGTTCTCCACTGGCTGTATTGACTCTGTGATAAAAGCCACGATCCACTCAGCTCTGGGTGAAAGCATACCAAATTCATTCCTGGTACCATGAAGTCATGCAAGAAATGTGAAAAAAAGTCCTAAGGAAAAGGCAGGACAGCTGAGGCTCTGCTCCTTCCCAACCTCCACAGCATGGTGAAGTCCCAATACTCCCACATGAAGCTGGAAAATGAATATGGTGCCTGCTGCTTAAACATGCCAGGCAAAACAAGAAATGTTGGCATGTGTCTCCAATCTGATAGCAAAGTCAATTAAATAAACTGAATATTGAATTTACAACTGTTTCCAACTAAACTCCTGGCGCTCATTCCATTTGTCATCACTAGTGGCACAATTTCAAGTGAAGTTTATGCAAAAAGACTCTCTTCATTCAGTGATGTGCACAGAAGGGAATCCCAAGAGTCTATCTGCTACTTTCTTGGTAGGATTCCAGATGAGAGTGCCCTGCTCTCCAGCAGCCAAAATGGCCTCTTTGTCCAATGTTCATCACACTTCTGGCCACATCCCTGAAGTCAGTTGGTGTCACGTGCATTCAGCACACTAGGTTTATTTAAATATGTGAAGCTCTTGCTCAGGTGCCCCAGGATTGTACCCCCATTAGTCCTGGGTTCCCAGTTTCATGTGGAGCAGCAGAGAGCAATCTGCTGAACCTTGCCCAGGTCCATCAGCAGCTGCATGATGCAATGCTTGAGCTGTGGAAGCCTGGCCAATGGCTCTGGGGACTCCAGCTCCCCAGTGTAGTCCAGCCAGCTCTCTAGCATGTCCAGTTCCCTCTCAATGGAGTCCATCCTGTGTGTGACTTCATCCGAAGAGACTCCATATGTGTCAGCAGGTTAAACTACTTCTGATGTTGGGTGCTCACCAACCCCTCTCCACCTCTGTCCAGCAGCTTCTGAGCAGGGGCTTCTTCTGGTAGGACCTTTTTGGAGACATAGTCCCTCACTTTTAGGGGACTGGGTTTGGGATAACTGTCCCTTCTGCTGCTGTCTTGGTCCCAAGGCCAACCCAGGCAAGGGGAGAGGGAATCATCATTCTCATGGAGGGAATTGACTGTATAATCCAGGGCAGAGCCACATGTCTCTACCAACTTTTGTTCCATGGCAAGGTAGTAGGCCTGGGGCTTCTGCTAGCAGTGCTCACTAGTGATGTAGAACTCCTCCACAGACTGGGGCAGCGGCAGGGGCTTCTCCACTGCCCCATTCAGAGTTCTATAGCTGGGGACTTCTTCCTTGCTCCTGGCATCCATGACATAGAGGTGTTTAGAATGAGCTCTCTCTTCCCCTGAGTGCTATTTCCAAGGTTGGCACCACAGTTGCAGGTCAGGATGCTCTCTGCTTTACAAGACGCTCATCTTGAGCTGTAAGCCATGCAGAACTTCAATCACTCTCTGCACGTCCCCAAGAAGCTGGTGAGTGGCCACAATCTTCTTCACATTCTGAGGGGAGTAGTCCTCTTCCAGAAATGCTACACCATGCACATGTCCTCTGCTCAAACACTCCTTGTCATACCAGTACTTACAGCCAGGCCTTTGACCTGGTGGGTCTTGGCAAATATAATAGGTGTATTTCTCAGGCAATTTTCTTCCAGGAATCCCATGCAGACCCCATGCTGCCAGCCCTGGCACTCTTCACACTGAATCATGAAATCATTTTCCTCCTGGACTTCACAGATGCAATGAAGTCCCTCAGAATCATAGTGGTCATCTCCATCGAGTTCCTCATGTGGGTTGGTGGTCACATCAAGATCTTGACCATACTTCTCGTCACTCCAAAGGAAGCTGTCAGAAGAAGACTCACTCAAATTATCCTCTTCGGATGCTTTTGATTTCGCTTTATGGTTGCCAGATTCCTTTTTTTTTTTTTTTTCAATATTTGAGATTTTATTGGCTGTGTTAAGGATCAGTACACATGATTCACTTTGTGCACAATTCTTAACATACATACCCAAAAAAAGCCATGCATTGTTTTTCAGTTATTTCAGTGACTTTCCAACTTCAAATTGAGGTAAATTTTCTGAAGAAGATTAAGAACCAGTATCTTCAAATGCTGACAAAGTGTTACTTAAGTCCCACCAATTCACAATTTTATATCACATATGCTATGTACTCAAATTTTTGATCTTCTACAGCACATTAACAAAATGAGGCAAACCAGACTTCTACTACCAAAGATGTTACAGAGTGCACACGATTCTGACAGGGCAACAATTAAGAAGTAGTTTTCTTTAGGAAACTATTCTACTAAAAAACATGGGAATCGAGGTCATTTAAAGTATTCAAGACATATTAAATGCATGACTGTAATTCCAATTTGTCATTTAGTATGCTTTGTATTGCAGGATGTAAAACTAACCCCCAACTATGGAATGTTAAGCTGACACCCAAGTGCCATCATTCAATATCCCACTATTTCTGGTTGTACGGGAGGCAAGGAGCACGTGGTGTGTGATTAATCAGACTTGACTTCTTTCTCTTCTCCTTCTTCAGGTAAATCTTCCTTGGTTTCTACTTTAGCCTGTTTTCCCTTGGCTCCCCTTTTCCCTTTTGCTTGCAATTTTTTTTTTCTAAACATTTATCCTTTCCTGCTGCCTTTTTTGGCTGCTTTCTTTCCACTTTAGCTGGGACAGGTTTAGCCGACAACCTCGCTAATCTCCTCTTGGGCTCCTCCTTCGCTGCCCCTTCCTCTTGGGTGCACATGGGAGGTTGGGTGGGGCGGGGGCGCGCGGAAGCTGAGGGTTCAAGCACACTGGAGCCTCGTGGAACTACGCAGCTCGACCACTCCATTCCTCCCGCAGCTCGGAGCTGTAGACCCATATGCACCACAGACTTGTGTGAGGACCCACACCTGGTGACAGCAGTGGTTCCAGAGAAGTGTCACTGATCTCCTCACTGAGGTTTGATTTGGGTCTACAGGGTCTCACAGGCACATTAATCCGCTGAGCTATTTGGCCGGCCCTGGTCTTTTCCTTTTCCTTTTCTTTTTCTTTTTCTTCTTCTTCTTTGGTTTCACTCTCATAAACTCTTTGAACTTTTCCTCTTTATTCTTTTCCTTGTCTTTTGCAGTTGGGTAACTGGCGGAGACCGGCTTCCTGGTCACATTCTCCTGGCTGGCCTTGTCAGAAGCTGAAGAGTCCATTGTTTGGACATGTGTCTTCCCTGAGCTGTCCTCTGGCTCTGGTGACTTCTCCATCCCATGGAAATACTTAGTGCAGCAATTTAGCTTTGCCAAAAAATTTTGAACAGTCCACAACATTGCATCTAAATTTGTGGTCCAGGTTGGCAGCTGGCACATTAGATATTACAATATCATCTGTTTTCTTAAAAGTACTTGGTACTTCCACAGTCAAAATCCCTTTTAATTCAGCAAGAGGAAATGCCAGTTCTGTTTTCATCCATTGATTTGCAGTTCAACCCAAGCCTGCAGCTCCTAATCCATCCCCAAAGGGGTGGCAAGTTAGTGTAGATGAGACCTGGCCAGCTTCCAAAGGTGATTTCAACTCGCCTTCTTCAGATTCCTTGGTACTAGCTGACGTGTCTTGCAGAGGATCTGCATCAACTGTGCCAACAAATCTGGTACTACTGAGTCAGGATCTAGGACCTCATGGGCCCCATTAGTGGGTAGTAAGGAAGACTGCCTTCTAAATAAGTCTTTTTCAAAGGAGTTTTTTTTAATTTTCCTGGGATGAATTTTTGTCAAGTTGAGGACATTTTATTTTTTTTTCATTTACTTTAATTTTTATTATTCCCTTAATTGTATAAACCTATGGGTTCTTTTTTTTTTCAAAGTTTTATTGATATACAGATAGCAATAAGACAGTTTCAAATCAAATCGGAAGTAC